CAGGGGCAAATCCTGAAATCCTGCTGGGGATGTGGGGTGAGTAACGCCTCAAACACCCCCAATTCCATAAGAATTTGTTTGTGTCTGCAGGATCGTTCCCAGGACCCTCGATCAGAGCCAGGACCTCGAGCAGCCATGACACCCCCCAGGGTATGTGACACCAAACTCTGTGCTGCCATCCTGCCCCTCATAAATCCCCTCCAAATCATACCACGGTCTCCTCATTTTCCCCTTCTTTTTTTAGGAAATAGGATTTGTTAGCCCCACTCCTCAGAAAGGGAAGGGGGCCAATCTGGGAGCCAAGGAATTGGAACCCCAGTGTTGCAGGGTACCCCCTGACTCTGGAGGTGGGGATGGAAAGGGCTGGTGAGGGGTCTGGGGTCTCCCCAGATCCCACTGAGCCCCCTCAGGCCCACATTTCCCAGCTGATCCTACTGGATCTGTGTCTGTGAGGGAGGGAAAACCCAGTGCCAGGGTGCTGATCCCCCAGAACCAGGTTAATTCCCCTGCATCCAGGTTGATCCAGGTCCACACAGTCACCAAAAAGTGCCATCAGCTTGTCCCAGCTAAAATTCCCTTATTATTTCCATTACTCATCAAACCCCCCTCACCACAAGCGCATTTTGGGGTGTATCCCCCCACATTTGGTGTTCCCAGGCGCCCTTTCCCTTTTTCCTTCCCCTGCTCAGACCCAGCCGTGGCTCATCCCCTCGTGCCCCAAGCTGGACATGGGCATCCCCTTCCTGGGCAAGTACCACCGGCCGGTTTCGGGGCGCTCCTGCCAGACCTGCACGCCCAGGAGCTGGGTAGGAGAGCCCCTCTGGGGTCCCGGGGCGCTGGGGGTCTGCTCCTGCACGGGTTGATCCCGTTTTCCCTGCCAGGATGGATTCTACCCCGAGGAGCTGGCCCCTCTGGGGTTCCGCGACGCCAGCCGCCTGACGGAGGCGGACACGCGGTGAGCAGCAAGGGGCTCTGTGTCCTGCACAAACACTTTTCCCCCCGTGTTTCACCAAAACCGAGCTCCTTAATTGGTTTTGGGAGGCTGGAAGTGATGGCTCCAAGGGTTTGGGCTGTGCTGCAGTTGTGGGATTGGGGATTTGGGGTCATGCTTGTATTTGGAGTCTTGGTGGGAAGGACGGGGAGGTGGAGGGTTGTTCTTCTCTCTGGCTCGCAGGGGAAAGGGAAAACAGGCACTTCCCCCTAGAAGGAAAAATACCAGGAAAGGCAAAATTGTGGTTATCCCCCCTTTTCCTCTGGGCAGGAACCATTTCCAGATATTTTCATTTTTGAGGTGCCAGATTGCTTTAAATCTGCTCCCCTTTAGGGAGTAATCCCTGGATTATCCATTTTTTGCTTTTCTCCTTCCCAAGTCGGGTCATTATCCTCCATTCAGTTCCAAATGTTCCCAGCTTTGGAGTGCTTGGAGGAATCCATTGGGATCACAGGGAATGCAGTTCCCCTGTCCCACTCCAGCCCTTCCTGCATGCTCTGGGATGTCCCAGAGCTCCCTCCCACCCTCCCCTCAGCGCAGATTTGGGGATAGATTGGGAAATTTCTGCAATTTGGGAATCTTGGGTTTGAATCCCAGTTTTCCTTCCTGCTGGGCACCCTGAAGCACCAATTCCCCGGTGCCTCAACATTTCCAGCTGTGAAATGGGGAGAAATGTCCTGAATCTGGCAGAGGGGCAGGCGGGGTGGCTCTGACCCCCAGGATGTCACCGTGTGTCCCCTCCAGGTTCCGGGGCTGGCTGGTCAGGAGGATCTGTGGCTTCCTGGCAGCCTGGCAGTGGGAAATTCCAGCAGAGAGCCCCGGGGAGCTCCTGCAGCGGATCTGCAGCAGCAGGAGGTGGGTGGGGGCACCCCCAGTCCTGGGGGTCCTTTTGGAGCCCAGCAGGGCTCCCTGCACCCCAACACGTGGTGCTGGGGGCTCGCCCTGCCCTGCTGTCCCCAGGGTGCAGGATGCTGCCTCCAGCCCGGAGCCTGGACCCCGAGGGGATGAGGGGTCCCAGCAGAGCTGCAAGGAGGAGATCTGCCAGATCCTGGGGGAAATCCAGGCCCCACTGTCCCCCCTGGTGCTGAGGTCAGGGGGCTTGAGGGGAAATTCTCTGGGGGATGGAGAGAAATCCCTCTGGGGGATGCACGGGGATCTGTTGGGTGGGCTCCTGGGATTGGGTTTGGGGTGTTCTGGGATTTTGAGGGGATGCATGTGGATTCATTGAGTGGTTTCCTGGGATCCTTCTGGGGGATGTGCTGGCATATTTCAGGAGATATTTTGGGATCCTTTGGCTGGCTGCCCTCGGGGTCCTCTCTGGCTCCTGGAGCCATTCCCCCAGTTCCTTCTGAGGAGCTGGAGTGGGAAAATCCAAACCCCTCAGGAGGGAGGGAAGCAGAGAAAACTTTCCTTTTCCTTTTCCCTTTCCCATCCCATCACTGCTGGGAATCCGGGGCTTCGTTGCTTGTCTGATCCAGTGGGAATAAAGAGTACTTTTGAGGCATTAAAGGGCAGGTATTCCCCATGGAATGAGAGCGTTTGGGGGTCCCAAAGTGGGGCAGGAAGATGGAGGGAATGCAGGATTCCCAGGGGCAGCTCTGGTTGCCAGTGGAAAGGAGGATGTTTCCACACACACTGCCTTTCACATGTGATAAAAGTGGGAGTTTTGAGCAGGGATTTCGGGGGTTTGGGGCAGCCCTGTCCCTGGCAGGGTTCCTCATTGCCGTTTTTCCTGCAGGCTGTGCCACTGGCTGCTCCCCAAGCTCCTGACCCGAGTGTTCCTGAGCGTGCAGCTGCACCGGGCGCAGCTGGAGATGGTGCTGCGAGCTGCCAGGACGGTAGGGAGCCCGGGCTGGGCCCTCCGTGCCCCTGGAACGCCGGGCACTCACCCCGGGATGCCTCCCTGCAGCCCGAGGTGCCGCTGGTGTTCCTGTGCAGCCACCAGTCCCCGCTGGACGGGCCCCTGCTGTCCTTCCTGCTGCTGTCCCAGGGCGTGGGGCTGCCCAGGGTGGCCGTGAGCACCAGGACCAGCCCTCGCCTGAGGTGAGGCAGCACCAGGGGCGCTCCCAGAGCATCCGGGGCCTCGCAGGGGTGCCCACGGTGTCCTTGCCTCGCCAGGTCCCTGCTCCAGCGCCTGGGAGGGATTTTCCTGCCTTCAGGCTTGGCCCCGACGTGGAGTGAGCGGGATGAGGGGCTCCCCGGGGCCGTGCTGGACGCGGTAGGTGCTGTAAATGCCCCCGGAGCGCTCAGGGAGGTGCTGGCAGCCCCCGGCACCCCTGGTGTCTCCCCAGTACGTGCAGGAGGTGCTGCGGAGCCGCCAGCCCCTGGTGCTGTTCCTGGAGGAGCCGTCGGCGTTCGTGCGGCTGGCGGAGCCCGCCCAGCGCTGGCTGCTGCGCCTGCTGCGGGCGCTGCGCGACGGCGCCGTGCCCGACGCGCTGCTGGTGCCCGTGGGCATCGCCTACGACCTGGCTCCGGGCGGGCTGCAGCAGCGTGCAGCGGTGAGAGCAGGGCTCACACATCCCTGGCACTGCCCTGGGATCAGCGTTCCCCAAACCCCTGGGAAACGCTGCTCCCTCATCCCTGGGGAGATCCCTGGGGAGCGGCATGGCCCGGATCTCTGGGGGCATCCCTGGGGGTGGCATCCCCCCGAATGTGCCACTGACCCCTCGTGCCCTGTCCTGGCAGCCCCCGGAGCCCCTGGGGCTGGGCTCGTGTCTGCGGGCAGCGTTCCAGGCCCTGTGCTGCCGCCACCATGGCTTTGCCCGCGTGGATTTCTCTCAGCCCTTCTCCCTACGGGTACGGCATCTCCTGCACCCATCCCCTGCATCCATCCCCTCTGGGAGACCCTTCCTGGGGTGTTGGTGGGCTTTGGGCTGCCTGGGGGAGCCAAGAATCCATCCAGGCCCTGTGCTGCCGGCACTGTGGCTGTGCCCAGGTGGATTTCTCTCAGCCCTTCTCCTTATGGCTATGCCAGCTGCAGATCCATCCCCTGCACCCATATCCCCCTGGGAGACCCTTCCTGGGATGTTGGTGGGCCTTGGGCTGCATGGGGGGATCTGGAATCCATCCTGGGGATGTCTGTGCTGCTCCCAGCCCTGGGGATGCAGGGTGAGCTCCTGCTGCTGCGGGCTGGGAGCACCCACAGGCTGCTTCGTGCTCATCCCCAGGAGTTTGTGGACAACAACCTGGTGGGGCCCATGCTCAGAGGGAGTCCCCCGGAGCAGCTGCTGCTTCCCACCATCCTGGGCAGGGGGTGAGGAGCTGAGCCCTTGGGGGCAGCGTTCCCCTTTCCCCTGGATCTCTGCCCCCGGCTCTCTCCTCACCCTCTCATCCCAACTGCCCAGCCTGCTGGATGTGGGGAGTGTGGGGAATCCGGGCCCCACTCTGGGGACAGAAGAGGAGATTTTGGTGACAGCACTGGGGCTGCACGCACTGAGCGGTGAGGGGCGGGCTGGGGGGTCCCTGCATCCCTTGGGATGGCATTCCCTGCTCAGGAATGGGGGCAGGTTAATAAATCCCCCCTGGATAACGAGGGCCTCTCCCCCACTGCAGATTCCAGAGCCTGCTCTGCTGTCACGGCCGTGGGAATCACCGCAGCGCTGCTGCTGCACCGCTACCAGGAGGTGGGAAAGGGGTTCCATGGAATCCCCCATTCCCTGAGAGCAGCCAGCATTCCCACTGGGAACCACCCTGAGGGCAGCCAGCGTTTGCAGTGAGGATCCCCTCTCCCCGTGTCCCCAGGTGGTGC